TGCTTTTTTTCTTGTTTTACATCCAGCATCCCTGTTTTTGTGTTGTGTCATGCAACAGGCTTTTGTATACTAATAAATTTTACTTACTCCTGGTCATGGTTGGTTAGACATAAACAGAGAAAGGAAGTAAGAGAGAGAGAATTGTTAAAATTAACGGTTAACATATAACGTTATGTTAAGCAAAGGATGTTTAAACTTAAATTAAGGGTGTTTGTCTAGGATTAAGGAAAACAAATGGTTCTAACATAAACTATCCGCTAAAGTAATGTGTTATAATAAAACGAAAGGACTAAATAAAACAGTTCAATTAAAGAGAAACAGTACCGAAAAACTACACTGCCTTATCAAGCAGTTGGAAATCGGATATGGATAACACAATGTATGTGCTTTAGTTTTTACTGATTTTTATATCGACAATCAATAGTTCACCTGGTAACAACCAATTTCATAGCAAACTCAATTAAAATAATAATAAAACAAACAAAAATCTTTCTAATCTTGATAAAATTTAACAAATTAACGCTGTACAATTTTGTTTTTATTAAATTGTATATGAGTTCAAGAACATTTAAGCAATAAATTACATTTGAATAATCAAATATCGTTGCACTACAATTTACCGGGGCGTTGTGGAAACATTGTGTAAATTGTAAAAAAAACGCAACACATTTATCGACACCAAAATTTAACATAAATTTTTTCAAAATCATCTATTGTTATGAATTTATTAATAAATCCAGTTTTATATAAAATCAAAATTACTGGCCGAGTTATTTTAATTTAAACTAATTGTTTACATGATTGTTATTATAGAAAATTATCAAGAATGGGTTCAACACGCTCTTTGACGTGCGACTAAAAGCATTAAGCGTGAAGTAATTTCGGAGTGATAATGAAAGGAAGGTGTTAAACGAATAAATAGCACGCTACTGGTTTTAAAACTGAAATTACTAACTAACTAACTAACTAACTAACTAACTAACTAACTAACTAACTAACTAACTAACTAACTAACTAACTAACTAACTAACTAACTAACTAACTAACTAACTAACTAACTAACTAACTAACTACTAACTAACTAACTAACTAACTAACTAACTAACTAACTAACTAACTAACTAACTAACTAACTAACTAACTAACTAACTAACTAACTAACTAACTAACTAACTAACTAACTAACTACTAACTAACTAACTAACTAACTAACTAACTAACTAACTAACTAACTAACTAACTAACTAACTAACTAACTAACTAACTAACTAACTAACTAACTAACTAACTAACTAACTAACTAACTAACTAACTAACTAACTAACTAACTAACTAACTAACTAACTAACTAACTAACTAACTACTAACTAACTAACTAACTAACTAACTAACTAACTAACTAACTAACTAACTAACTAACTAACTAACTAACTAACTAACTAACTAACTAACTAACTAACTAACTAACTAACTAACTAACTAACTACTAACTAACTAACTAACTAACTAACTACTAACTAACTAACTAACTAACTAACTAACTAACTAACTAACTAACTAACTAACTAACTAACTAACTAACTAACTAACTAACTAACTAACTAACTAACTAACTAACTAACTAACTAACTAACTAACTAACTAACTAACTAACTAACTAACTAACTAACTAACTAACTAACTAACTAACTAACTACTAACTAACTAACTAACTAACTAACTACTAACTAACTAACTAACTACTAACTAACTAACTAACTAACTAACTAACTAACTAACTAACTAACTAACTAACTAACTAACTAACTAACTAACTAACTAACTAACTAACTAACTAACTAACTAACTAACTAACTACTAACTAACTACTAACTACTAACTAACTAACTAACTAACTAACTAACTAACTAACTAACTAACTAACTAACTAACTAACTAACTAACTAACTAACTACTACTAACTAACTAACTAACTAACTAACTAACTAACTAACTAACTACTAACTAACTAACTAACTAACTAACTAACTAACTAACTAACTAACTAACTAACTAACTAACTAACTAACTAACTAACTAACTAACTAACTAACTAACTAACTAACTAACTAACTAACTAACTAACTAACTAACTAACTAACTAACTAACTAACTAACTAACTAACTAACTAACTAACTAACTAACTAACTAACTAACTAACTAACTAACTAACTAACTAACTAACTAACTAACTAACTAACTAACTAACTAACTAACTAACTAACTAACTAACTAACTAACTAACTAACTAACTAACTAACTAACTAACTAACTAACTAACTAACTAACTAACTAACTAACTAACTAACTAACTACTAACTAACTAACTAACTAACTAACTAACTAACTAACTAACTAACTAACTAACTAACTAACTAACTAACTAACTAACTAACTAACTAACTAACTAACTAACTAACTAACTAACTAACTAACTAACTAACTAACTAACTAACTAACTAACTAACTAACTAACTAACTAACTAACTAACTAACTAACTAACTAACTAACTAACTAACTAACTAACTAACTAACTAACTAACTAACTAACTAACTAACTAACTAACTAACTAACTAACTAACTAACTAACTAACTAACTAACTAACTAACTAACTAACTAACTAACTAACTAACTAACTAACTAACTAACTAACTAACTAACTAACTAACTAACTAACTAACTAACTAACTAACTACTAACTAACTAACTAACTAACTACTACTAACTATCTAATCTAACTAACTACTAACTAACTAACTAACTACTACTAACTAACTAACTAACTAACTAACTACTAACTAACTAACTAACTAACTAACTAACTAACTAACTAACTAACTAACTAACTAACTAACTAACTAACTAACTAACTAACTAACTAACTAACTAACTAACTAACTAACTAACTAACTAACTAACTAACTAACTAACTAACTACTAACTAACTAACTAACTAACTAACTAACTAACTAACTAACTAACTAACTAACTAACTAACTAACTACTAACTAACTAACTAACTAACTAACTAACTAACTAACTAACTAACTAACTAACTAACTAACTAACTAACTAACTAACTAACTAACTAACTAACTAACTAACTAACTAACTAACTAACTAACTAACTAACTAACTAACTAACTAACTAACTAACTAACTAACTAACTAACTAACTAACTAACTAACTAACTAACTAACTAACTAACTAACTAACTAACTAACTAACTAACTAACTAACTAACTAACTAACTAACTAACTAACTAACTAACTAACTACTAACTAACTAACTAACTAACTAACTAACTAACTAACTAACTAACTAACTAACTACTAACTAACTAACTACTAACTAACTAACTAACTACTAACTAACTAACTAACTAACTAACTAACTAACTAACTAACTAACTAACTAACTAACTAACTAACTAACTAACTAACTAACTAACTACTAACTAACTAACTAACTAACTAACTAACTAACTAACTAACTAACTAACTAACTAACTAACTAACTACTAACTAACTAACTAACTAACTAACTAACTAACTAACTAACTAACTAACTAACTAACTACTAACTAACTAACTAACTAACTACTAACTAACTAACTAACTAACTAACTAACTACCTAACTAACTAACTAACTAACTAACTAACTAACTAACTAACTAACTACTAACTAACTTACTACTAACTAACTAACTAACTAACTAACTGACTACTAACTAACTAGCTAACTAGCTAACTAGCTAACTAACTAACTAACTAACTGACTAACTAACTAACTAACTAACTAGCTAACTAACTAACTAACGCTTCCATATATATAACTTGAGTAACTGTGAGTAACCTAAATATGGTGAACTATACTTGATCAGGTTGAACTCAGGGGACACCCTGATGGAAGACCGAAACCGTTCTGACGTGCAAATCGATTGTCAGCATTGAGTATAGGGGCGAAAGACCAATCGTACCATCTAGTAGCTGGTTCTCTTCGAAGTTTCCCTCAGGATACCTGGTCCATGTAAAATAATCTTATCTGGTAAAGACAACGATTAGAGGCCTAAGGGTCGAAACGATCTTAACTTATTCTCAAACTTTAAATGGGTAAGAACCTTTCTTGGTATGATGGTTGTGGTTGGGATATATTGTGCCCAGTTGGTCAATTTTGTTAAGCACAACTGACGCTGTGCTATGAACCAAACGTAATACTACGGGACGCGGTTGTATACTGATAACTCAAAATTAGATTGCATGGAATATGGCGTCCATGCAGGGTAACAGGTAAAATATGTTTAGCTTATATGGTTACTTCTAAGGTCGTATTGGACTGCAAAGGAGCCAGTCATATGTAAGTAGCAGACCACTTGGGATTAAAAGAGCTAATCGAAGGGAAGGGAACTTGAGCATGATATTTAGAGAAGGCAAAATCGTCATTGCAACGAGGACTGAATTAAAAACCTGAGATTCTGAGGAACTATGTGCAGGAAACTTAATTTTTGAACATTGGACGATAATTTTATTTAAAAGACCTTCAACATTATCTATGAAATATTTGTGGGCGTCAACGGTTTTCAAAATACAATGTGCTCAGATCAGATTGATGTAGATCTCTGAAAGTAATGCTTAAACTGCATTAAACCAAAATGTCTAATTTAATAAACAATAAAGTGTTTAGAATTCATGTAACCATAATTATACATTTACGCTTTATGCACCATTTAAATATCTGCAAACAACAATTGACAATTTGTATTCAAATAGAACATTTTAACGAGAACATTTTCAAATTATCAACAAACCGAAATTTAGTTACAGTTCAAACTTTAAAAGCGGCAACATATTAAAGCGCATAAATTAACATTATTAACATTTTTGTTAAATAAATTCAAAACTTAAAAAAAAAAACAAAAAAAAAAAAACTATTAAAATATTTTATATAAAAAACGATGTTATTGGAAGATTTGTGTTTCAAAATCTATTTCTGGCCATTTCTTTCGTATCTGGCCAGTCTGAAGGGATTATGTCCCTTTTATCCACACGGCTTTTTTCCCATTATAACATTACCGCCTGATGCCGGTTCAACATCCACTTCACCTATACCCACATACCAGCCAACACCACCTACTACTTTACCACCCTGTCCGGCAGATCCTTTAGTTTGTTTGCCGGGCGGTGAAAGACCCATATCGTATTGTCCCTGCATAGATCCGAGACAACAAAATGGTCAGACAACTACCACTGCTGATATGACTAGTGCTGAAACTGATTTTATGGATTTAGAGAATTTACAATTAAGATTGGCTCCCACTTATCCAACAGCTGTTATGAGTTCGGAAATGATGATATTTTCTCACTTGGATAATGATGCAAAAAAGAAAAGAAGAAGAAAACGCAAGAAACGTGAAGTCGTGAAGGAGTCGAGAAAAATTTAATTGTTTGATGTTCAAGTGAATTATTTTCCAAATAAAACTAGTCTGTAATAATGTAAATAAATTTTTAAAATTTTGAAAAATAGTGATCTTTTCTTAAGCAAAATTTGCTGCCCACTGTAAAATTCTTACCTTAAAGATGCCGCTTCTTGACTCTTGCTTTTTCGTCTTAAAAATATTTACTCTTAATAACGTTTTTAATTTAGTAACTGTTATTAATACACGTTAACTAAATGCATTTTTTTTAAGCGGGGGATTCCTGCGGTCGTTCAAATATGGACAGATTTGAATGTTAGTGAATCACCACACTTCTTAATGTTTACTACTCATTGATCAACTAAACCGGTTTAATATTAGCTGCATCATCTCTCACATGTTGTTGAAGATGGTCATTGGTCGATTGGATTTATGGTTTCGTTATTGCGCGTAAACATCTGCATGTGACAGATTTTCAAGGGGATTTACATGTTGGCCTTGTGTTTTAGCTTAATGTATTAACATTTTTCAAAAATTGTAAATGTAGTTTAATTTACACATTATTACGCATATATTTTGCACAAGAAAAATGTGTGCGATTTTCTTTTAAAGTATTTATTGGGTAAAATACAAGGTTTTTTACAATGATTGGTCAAAATGTGGATTAAAAACTAAAATTTGGTTCTAGTTCAGGTCTAGATCAGTTCTAGATCCATTCTAGTTCAGTTCTAGTTCAGTTCTAGTTCTAGTTCAGTTCTAGTTCAGTTCTAGTTGAGTTCTAGTTCAGTTCTAGTTCTAGTTCTAGTTCAGTTCTAGTTCAGTTCTAGTTCAGTTCTAGTTCAGTTCTAGTTCAGTTCTAGTTCAGTTCTAGTTCAGTTCTAGTTCAGTTCTAGTTCAGTTCTAGTTCAGTTCTAGTTCAGTTCTAGTTCAGTTCTAGTTCAGTTCTAGTTCAGTTCTAGTTCAGTTCTAGTTCAGTTCTAGTTCAGTTCTAGTTCAGTTCTAGTTCAGTTCTAGTTCAGTTCTAGTTCAGTTCTAGTTCAGTTCTAGTTCTAGTTCAGTTCTAGTTCAGTTCTAGTTCAGTTCTAGTTCAGTTCTAGTTCAGTTCTAGTTCTAGTTCAGTTCTAGTTCAGTTCTAGTTCAGTTCTAGTTCAGTTCTAGTTCAGTTCTAGTTCAGTTCTATTTCAGTTCTAGTTCAGTTCTAGTTCAGTTCTAGTTCAGTTCTAGTTCAGTTCTAGTTCAGTTCTAGTTCAGTTCTAGTTCAGTTCTAGTTCAGTTCTAGTTCAGTTCTAGTTCAGTTCTAGTTCAGTTCTAGTTCAGTTCTAGTTCAGTTCTAGTTCAGTTCTAGTTCAGTTCTATTTCAGTTCTAGTTCAGTTCTAGTTCAGTTCTAGTTCAGTTCTAGTTCAGTTCTAGTTCAGTTCTAGTTCAGTTCTAGTTCAGTTCTAGTTCAGTTCTAGTTCAGTTCTAGTTCAGTTCTAGTTCAGTTCTACTTCAGTTCTAGTTCAGTTCTAGTTCAGTTCTAGTTCAGTTCTAGTTCAGTTCTAGTTCAGTTCTAGTTCAGTTCTAGTTCAGTTCTAGTTCAGTTCTAGTTCAGTTCTAGTTCAGTTCTAGTTCAGTTCTAGTTCAGTTCTAGTTCAGTTCTAGTTCAGTTCTAGTTCAGTTCTAGTTCAGTTCTAGTTCAGTTCTAGTTCAGTTCTAGTTCAGTTCTAGTTCAGTTCTAGTTCAGTTCTAGTTCAGTTCTAGTTCAGTTCTAGTTCAGTTCTAGTTCAGTTCTAGTTCAGTTCTAGTTCAGTTCTAGTTCAGTTCTAGTTCAGTTCTAGTTCAGTTCTAGTTCAGTTCTAGTTCAGTTCTAGTTCAGTTCTAGTTCAGTTCTAGTTCAGTTCTAGTTCAGTTCTAGTTCAGTTCTAGTTCAGTTCTAGTTCAGTTCTAGTTCAGTTCTAGTTCAGTTCTAGTTCAGTTCTAGTTCAGTTCTAGTTCAGTTCTAGTTCAGTTCTAGTTCAGTTCTAGTTCAGTTCTAGTTCAGTTCTAGTTCAGTTCTAGTTCAGTTCTAGTTCAGTTCTAGTTCAGTTCTAGTTCAGTTCTAGTTCAGTTCTAGTTCAGTTCTAGTTCAGTTCTAGTTCAGTTCTAGTTCAGTTCTAGTTCAGTTCTAGTTCAGTTCTAGTTCAGTTCTAGTTCAGTTCTAGTTCAGTTCTAGTTCAGTTCTAGTTCAGTTCTAGTTTCAGTTCTAGTTCGTTCTAGTTCAGTTCTAGTTCAGTTCTAGTTCAGTCTAGTTCAGTTCTAGTTCAGTTCTAGTTCAGTTCTAGTTCAGTTCTAGTTCAGTTCTAGTTTTCAGTTCTAGTTCAGTTCTAGTTCAGTTCTAGTTCAGTTCTAGTTCAGTTCTAGTTCAGTTCTAGTTCAGTTCTAGTTCAGTTCTAGTTCAGTTCTAGTTCAGTTCTAGTTCAGTTCTAGTTCAGTTCTAGTTCAGTTCTAGTTCAGTTCTAGTTCAGTTCTAGTTCAGTTCTAGTTTCAGTTCTAGTTCAGTTCTAGTCAGTTCTAGTTCAGTTCTAGTTCAGTCTAGTTCTAGTAGTTCAGTTTCTAGTTCAATGTTCTATCAGTTCTAGTTCAGTTCTAGTTCAGTTCTAGTTCAGTTCTAGTTCGTTCTACTTCAGTTCTAGTTCAGTTCTAGTTCTAGTTCTGTTCTAGTTCAGTTCTAGTTCTAGTTCAGTTTTAGTTCAGTTCTAGATCAGTTCTAGTTCAGTTCTAGTTCAGTTCTAGTTCAGTTCTAGTTCAGTTCTAGTTCAGTTCTAGTTCAGTTCTAGTTCAGTTCTAGTTCAGTTCTAGTTCAGTTCTAGTTCAGTTCTAGTTCAGTTCTATTCAGTTCTAGTTCAGTTCTAGTTCAGTTCTAGTTCAGTTCTAGTTCAGTTCTAGTTCAGTTCTAGTTCAGTTCTAGTTCAGTTCTTGTTCAGTTGTAGTTCAGTTGTAGTTCAGTTCTAGTTCAGTTCTAGTTCAGTTCTAGTTCAGTTCTAGTTCAGTTCTAGTTCAGTTCTTGTTCAGGTGTAGTTCAGTTCTAGTTCAGTTCTAGATTTCAGTTCTAATCAGTTCTAGTTCAGTTCTAGTTCAGTTCTAGTTCAGTTCTAGTTCAGTTCTAGTTCAGTTCTAGTTCAGTTCTAGTTCAGTTCTAGTTCAGTTCTAGTTCAGTTCTAGTTCAGTTCTAGTTCAGTTCTAGTTCAGTTCTAGTTCAGTTCTTGTTCAGTTGTAGTTCAGTTCTAGTTCAGTTCTAGTTCAGTTCTAGTTCAGTTCTAGTTCAGTTCTAGTTCAGTTCTAGTTCAGTTCTAGTTCAGTTCTAGTTCAGTTCTAGTTCAGTTCTAGTTCAGTTCTAGTTCAGTTCTAGTTCAGTTGTAGTTCAGTTCTAGTTCAGTTCTAGCTCAGTTCTAGTTCATTTCTAGTTCAGTTCTATTTATTTCTATGTAATATTTTATTGTTTCCGTTTTAATTTTATGATTTGATTAAAAATAATTTTTTTTTAACAACATGTATCTAAACTTTCTTATGACAAAATTATTTTTTTGCAACATGCTGCTTTTGTAATATTTCAATAGTTTTGTCTCAACAAAAACGCTTATTATCGAAAATTGTTTGAAAGCTGAAACAAACTTTTCGATATGATTAAACATTTTATTTCAACTCTGGGATTTTCCACTACAAAAATTTTTTTTTCACAAATTTCTAAAAAAAAGAGAATCTTCGACTCATTGGGAGAGAAATATTGTAAATGAAATGTATAAATTCCCATAAAATAAATGTGATATATAATTTGTATTAATTATTTAATAATTCACATAAAACGAAATAGTTAATGTGATAACAGAAACAAATATACATGCATACATACAGCTAATTTTAAAAAGTAAAGTAAGCGCTAAAATAACATGTAATTTTTAATTTTAAGACAATAAATGCTTATAAAATTTTGCTTTATCATGTCTTATTAAAAATTCTGACTTAGTATACAATAAGTAAAATGTTATAAAGAATAAAGAAAAGGTAATGTGGAGTGTTTATTGCTTGCATTACTGTAAGCTAAGTAGTAATGCATATACATACATTAGCTTGTAATTTAGTTTTGGAATTGTTTTAATTGATAATTAAATTTCATATTTTTTAATTTTATTAATAGTAACTGATAACTGAATCCCAGGCTATACCAGAGCCTCCCGTATGTTTATAGCAGAAAAACCTGTACTATCAAACTATTTAACAATGACGTAAATATTACAATACTAATTATACTGTACCTATTGCATTTCATTCTAAACTTAAAAATATTAACTATAAATTTATTTTATTTTATTATTTTTACAACTATACAAACATATATGCAAAGAGTAAAAGATGCTTTATAAAAATTAATGAATCATGACCACACAGACTGGGGAAAGAGATGCTTTACCATGCAAAGTTTTGAACACGATTTATTATAAGTTTGTATTTTTATATTTGTTTCCCCGATAGAAATTTTTATTAATTACTAGAACTTAGTTTTTCGAGGCAAAACAATCAGTTGTTTTTCAAACGGAATATACACAGCAAGTGTTAAATTAAAAAAACGTAAATAAAAAATATTCAATTTAATATTTTTTATATAATTAAATAACAAAACAAGAAATGTTCAAATTATTATCTACATATTTCTTACTATTACTTGCTGTGGACTTTATAAATTGTCACGGCCACTGGAATGGCCCTGGCATGAGCAATAGCCGTTTTATACGTGGTTTTGAGCAGAATTTTTGTCGCACCCCTTTAGATCAAATGGGTTCTTGTGTTTCGTTGAAATTTTGCCCCGAAGTTTAACTTTATTTACAAAACTACCACAAAATTCAGCCAAACAATATTCCATGAATTTGCAAAGAATATGCGGTAATCGTATAACGCCGCGATCAGTACCCAGTGGTAAGTTAAGAGTTTAAAATAAAGAAGAAATAAGTGTATCAAATATTTGTTAAAAAAACAGGTTTGCTGTACTACAGTATCAAGAATAGACAACTCA